CAAATAGTATAATTTATGGTATAAATTTTGAATTAAATGATATAATATCATATAACTACAAAATAATTATTAATTTAATTTGATAAATTTTGGCAAAATTCGAACTTAAAATACTTATAAAAAAATTGTGAATATGTGTTTTTAATATTTTTCAACTGCTATTGTAACAATATATCAGGAGTCTTGTATTAAATTTTCATTCATTTTTACCCAACAAATAAAATTTAATTGATAATTATAGAAAATAACTAAAAAAATTGAAAACTGACAATGTCCGTCGAATAAATTCAAAATATTGTCTTAAGAGGACGCCACACCACTCGTAATTCGGTTGTAAAAACTGTTTCGCGCGGGACAACCTTTCTCGCGTTATAATTATAATAGAATAATCAAAATTTTACAACATATAGAGGACAATTTTATCTATGTCGTAGCGTTTTTATTTTTTGGATAACATAAATACGTTTAAAGTTATAGGTTTGAGAACATTTGACTTTTTTGTATTTTTCAAATGATTGTTAAAAATTATTGGGTAGTGCTATCAAAAAAATAACGACGCTACGACACAGATAATTTTCTTCTTAGTAAGGATTTACAATTTTGGTAATTCTAATGTTAATATTGAGGGAGTTTTGCTGGGTGTTATCAATGGATAACTTCCCAATCATATTATTTCACTGTTAATTTTATATTCCTTTATCAAATCTAATTATTATAGGGGAGAGTGTTGTACCTTGGCACCATTTTTATAAAAAAAATTCTAGAACCTTTAATTTTGAATATTAAATGTTCATTTTTATTACTCATATAGACAATACACATAAGTATATGGTAATTTTTTTTAAAGGCCTTATATCAATTATTTTTTAAATTAAAATTTATTTTTTAAAAACACAAAAAATGGTCCAAGGTACAATATATATTGTACCTTGGTATTTGGGGTATTGTACCTTGGTTTGCATTGAAATATGCATACTTAATTTCAAAAATAATTTTATATTATGTATTTGATTAGTTATGAATGCCTAGTTATTATTTATTTCAATTATTATAGTTACAAAATATATTTATTATTATTTATAGATACCTACCTATAATATTACACAATAATAAGAAAGGTAAATAAAATAAATAAACTTCAGTCTCATGTTGTCTTTACCCTTTTAATACCTCGTTTGCTTCTAGGCATAATAACTGTAGGTACTAATCTACAAGCAATTAAATAATAATTTTTAATGAAATACCAATTTATGAACAATTAATGGATGGTCCAAGGTACAATTTTTTTTTTGGTCCAAGGTACATTCGAGTTATATTTTTATTAATTGTTCTTTTGGCCATTTTGTACATTTATATTGTAACAAAAGACCACACCATTCAATTAAATACAATATTTAACGTAGATGAACACTTACCTTATTAATTTAAATGAACAAATTAAAACACAAAAAGTTGTGTTTTAAAATTCAAATATTATTTTTTTTGTGATAAGAAAATGATTTGCTGTTTATCAAAAAAATACGCGCATTTTTGTTATCAATTTCTAAATTATTTATTGTAGTAGGACTAATGACGTAAATTTCTTCCATGAGATTTTGTTTTCCCCCAATATTTTATAAAATATTTACATTAGTCCAAGGTACAAGCGGTCCAAGGTACAACACTCTCCCCTATAGATTGTAGATGTATTTTAATAAAAAAAAAAAAAAAAAAAAAAAAAAATATTGAGGGAGTAATGTTGTCCCGCGCAAAACAATTTTTAGCATATGGAATTATTGTAAAATAATTTTTCTAATTATTTTCGAATTATTCCCTGGTGGCGTAAAACGACAAAACGCGGCTTCCCCCACTCCATTCAAGCACTCGCGTTTTTCGTAATCGGCCGGCACCGGGCAACCGCGCGACAAATTGTGACAAAAATAAACATTTCCGATAATCAGAAGTCGATGGACATACTATTATTATCTTGAATAATAATATAGATCATATCTAAACTTATTTATAAGCTACCTACACTTAATTATGTCGTCGACCGTCGTAGTCACCATATGACAGAATACGCTGTGGAATTACTATATAATATTATGATACCTATTATAATTTAGCAATAACAGAGCGGCCTTTATATTAATTACTCATTATATAAATTGTATTTAATTTTTATGCTGTTGTATCTAACCATATTTTTTTTCGTGCCAAAATTGTATTAACCATTGTTAACATAATGTCACCAAAAAAAATTCGCGCCATCCAAAAGAAAGGGGACCGATCGGGTAAGATTTCTTTAAAAAAAAAAATGAAAGAAGTTCGTAATGGGGTTCGTAAGGATGTGCAGTAAGTACTTTTAAATATAAGCTTCAAAATAAAAATACATTATTTCATGTCCAATTTTGTGACTTTTTGTAAGTAAAATATGTTATTTTGTAGAACATAATAATATGCTAAATTACTATACAGGTATATATAATAGTTTTATTATTTTATGAATATTACTTGATTTATAGCATATGTTCATATATTTTATAGTGATGTGAGTCTCGTATAAATTTGCAAAAAATTTACGATTTACATTTTTTTACCGTTCAAAAAGTTGTGTGATCACTTTATTTGTATACTTCTATATTTTTATCGAGATTTTAGAATTATAATAAAAATCAATATTTTATAAAATTATATTGATCGATATTATGTTTTTAATTTGTAACATTTTATTAATTATTTTTATTTAAACACATAATAGAAAACTATAATTATTAATTATTATTTTTAATAAAGGGATTAAATACTAATGCTTTATTTTATATTTGTCTTGCCTTCTTTACATAATATTGTAAAAAAAATTAAATAGGTACTTACACTATAAATTGAATTTTAATAAAAATTTACTAATTTTACCGTAATTTTGGTAAATTTAACCGGAAAATGACTCGATAAATTACCAAAAAATTTTTTTACGTAAAATACTCATCATTTATATTTTATAATACAAAATAAAATAATATATTATGTAAGGTATTATTATTACTTACTTTTTTCCTATTTATATCAACAATGTAGGTATCTGCTATTTAATTGTAATAAAATATTTTTACAGTGTATTACCACTATATTGGCACTATTACCTAATGATTAAAAATTAAATTATATTTTTGTATTGCATATATTTGCTATAATATACATCTTATACTTTTTGTTTATAAAAATTTAAATAAAATTAATAATTAATTATTACTGCAAAATTAAAATCAAGTACCTATTTATGTTTGTATTCAATTTTTGAATTACTTGACTGGGTGTAATAGTGTACCTAATAAACTAAGTGTACCTCTAAGGGGCGCGGGAAAAATTTATTTTTAGGGCGCCAACTATAATTTTATATATCCACTTCGCGATTATATCATATTTCGTAAATATTTGAAGTTTCAAACGCTTATAAAAAAAATTGTGCCTATGTATTTTATGTAATTTTATCGACATTTATAAAAAAAAACAAACAAAAAAAGTCGAATATTTCAAATGCCTATAATAGCTGTAAAAATTAACGAAATATTTTGAAAAAAAAATCCCGTGAAGAAAATGTCACAATAAACAACTGGTGGAAGTTTTGAATTTCTACGGCTTATACTTTTTGAATAAAAATAAACATCGAAAATTGTTTGAGCTAAATCTTTGTTTAAGGTGATTTTGTAAAAGTTTAAATTTCAAACGCTCATAAAAATTTTTGTCCGGTAGAATTTTTTTTACAGATATTCAAAGAAAAACTTATGGAAAATTTGGTACCAAATTTTCAAATCTTAGGTATAAATACTTAAAATTGTATGAATATTCAACAACAAAATAACTTCAAATTTTCGCGATTTTAACATATTTGAATAATGTAAATAAACTAATTGTAAATAGTATTAATTTATAAATTGTATATAGTATTCAAACCACAAGGTAACAAGATAAGTTCAGTTATAAAGGCTGATTCCTAGGAGTCATGTACTATGTAAAAACAATTTACAATAATGTACACTAAGCTTTTATCTATGAATATATTATACAAGTACAAGGGCCCCATAACATTTTTTAAACTAGTGCCCTACAAAACCTAGTTGCGGCACTGTAATGTAGTTACTCATATCAGTCTAATCTAATAATTGTAATAAATTATACATTTATAAATAATTAGTTATTACGAGTAAATAATAATTTATGCAAAGTTAAAAAAAATATACAAAAAATGGTATTCAAAAGTGACTATATGTTATGAAATAATTTTTCAAAATTTTTTTTTGATTTTATATTTATTTAGAAATGAAGATTTAATTAATGAATTAAATAATGTAATTCCGTCTTCTAATGCAGAAAATATGATTTTGAATTATAACTCAACAATTGTTTCCAATAAGTATGCATATTTGTATTTTCTTTAGATTATATTTTAATCTATCAAATTTTTTTTAATGCAGTGTTTTAGTACACGATTTAAATCTTGATGAAACGTCTGTATCGTCTGTAGTGAATACATTATCATCGGATATAAAGTAAATATTAAAACCAAGTTAAATTATGAATATATCGAATAACTTTGTTATTTTATGAAGTAATTTAGATGCAACATTGATTTGTCCTGAATATAAGGCCTCATGTTCTCGATTAGAGTGAGCAAAGATTTAATACTATTTTTCTTATAAGTACCTAAGGTTTTATTTTAATATCTATTACTTTTTTTTATTTAGTAACACTAATACAACATCCATTAATTCGGATAATTATGAACATTTGACTAAAATTCAGTCCGTCAGTGATGATTCATATATAAACGTTACCGAGTATGAGTTCACATTAATTATAGTTACCTATTGTTATTATTTTTTATTTATTTATTTATTTGTATTTGTTTTAACTATAAACTTAGACCTTTAACTGGGCGAAGAATTGTTGATATTTTATATTTTATTAATCAAATACAAACAATGGTACACGATGGTGGTTTCGATTGCTCATTTATGAACATGGAGTTTCAATCCGAAAAAATAATGGGCCATCAGTCAATTTTAACATTTAAGTGTAAAATGTGTAACATTGAAAATAAAATTTACACCGAAAATCCAAAGACGGAAAAATGTCCCGTAAACAAAGCTGCTGTGCATGCTTGTCAAGCAATTGGTATTGGTTACACACAGTTATCAGAACTTATGGCATTTCTTGAAATTCCTACAGTATCAGAAACAAGCTATATAAAAATTCAAGAAGGAGTAGCAGATACTGTCCATGACACAGCGTGGGATGAGATGAAACGAGCGGGCGAAGAAGAAAAACAAATTGCACTAGAGTGTGGCGAAGTGGATGTAGATGGTATACCAATTATAACTGTTGTTGCCGATGGCCAATGGTCAAAACGTAGCTACAGAACAAAATACGATGCGTTATCTGGTGCAGTAAGTTACATCTACAGACAAAAATAATAATTTTACATTTTTACACATACAAAAATAAACATATTAAATATAGTAAGCATTTAGGTAAGTACATAAATTTAGATTTTTCTTGTATCAAATTACTTATAGGCAACGATAATAGGATTTAAAACAAAAAAGTTCTTTTTATCGGAATACGAAATAAGTATTGTACTATATGCCAAAGATCGAAAAATAGTAATCAAGTCATTGTTTCTGAACACAAATGTTTTCTTAATTGGCATAAATCTTCAACTAGTATGGAAGCGGATGGTGTGCTCGAGGGTTTTAGCAAAAGCATAGAAATGCATGGGCTGAAGTATAATTGTTTAATTGGTAAAATCAAAATAAATCTTAAACAATTTATAAAAACTAATAATTTCTATAACTATTTGTATACAAAAATTGAATAGGCGACGGGGACAGTAGTGTCACAAAACGTTTGAATGAATGTCAACCGTATGGCCCAAATTTTCATATTCGTAAAATAGAGTGCCGAAATCATATGATGCGGAATTATGCTACTAAACTTACAGCATTAGCCAGAAACACAAAATTTCCACTCCGAATACGTAAATTTATTTTAGGAAATATTTTGCGGTTTAGAGGAGACGTGACAAAGTCTGTTTTACACTGGAAAAATGAAATTGGTATCACTAAATTACAAAAAATTAAAGGTATTAGTGTATTTCTAATATATATATATTTAGGTACCTTCTTATAATTTTTGAATGCTTGTAACCAAACATTATATTTTTTTTTTTTTTTTTAAACGTTATTTGTATTGTAATAAATTAACCAAACAAATCAACAAAATAATTCATACATAATTCATAAATAAAATATAGTAAAATTACTAAAATTAATTGTATTTTCATATTGTAGGTATACAAAAAGATATTGCGAATGCACCATACCATCGACTTGGCCAACATATAAATTGTAGTTCTTATTTTTGTGACGGGTCGAAAAATAACGAACAAAACTTGGTTCCCGAGGCTGAAACCTCTGGAATAATGTATGAAATAAAAAATTATACATCGCGGCTTGTATCTAACGCAGATAGTTTGTTAGAGAACAAAAATAATAATATATGCGAACAGTTCAATGCTTTAATAAACAAGTTCGTAGCAGGTAAAAGATTGAATTTCTCGGGAAAAGGTAGTTATACAACAAGAGTGGAGGCAGCTGTTGTATCTTTTAATTCAAAGCAATATTTAAGAACAATTCACAAAACGATAACTAACTGTAGTCCAGGTAAACTAAATTATTAATTTATTATTTCATTGGTATTGATTTATGATATGATAACTATTAACTGGTATTATTTAGTACAATATACTTTTAATCATAAATATTTAAGGTAAATTTGGAAAGCGATTTCTTCTAAATTACGATCGAAAAAGAGCCAACACTATGAAAAGGAGGAAATTATTTCCAGAAATTAGAAAAAATAAAACTAAACGTTCAGATGGACCAGATGCAGATTACGGCTTGGCTGAACCTCTTATTGATTCGTATTCTCAAAAAGAGATTGAGGAAAAAAAAACAAATTTCCTGGAAACATTAAGTCGGTCTAATTTTTCACAAATTGAAAAAGATACGAGAGGACAAAGTAACACTCAAATTTGGTTCAAAGAACGAAAAACACGTCTTACAGCTTCCAGATACGGTCAAATTTGCAAAATGCGATCTAATACAAGCTGTAAAAATACGGTATATAATATTTTATATGGAACGGAACCTTACACAAAATCTTTAGAATATGGAAGAAATATGGAGGCAAACGCTCGTCAAAAATTTGAAGAAATTACTACTAAAAAAGTGATTGAATGTGGCTTAGTTATTGACCCTGAAATTCCATTCCTAGCAGCAAGTCCAGGTATTTTTTTTAGTGAACATGTAATAATGTATAAATTAAATTAATTGTTAAATTATATTTTTTCATTTTACATAATTTACGATCTATCAACAAATTTGTATACTTTCAGATGGGTTGATTGGAAAAGACGCTTTGATTGAAATCAAGTGTCCATATTCAGCCCAGAATACAGAAAATGCAATCGATGCCATAAATAATAAACAGGTGTTACTATGATTTGTAATTTATATTAATTTATTACCTTAAACTATAAGTTATTAACAAAATATAACAAATTATTAACCATTATTATTTTTAAAAAATACTTCATTGTCTTATTTGTAATTTAATAAAATTACAGTTGAAATACTGCAAAGTTGTAGACAACAAAGTTATTTTAAAAAGAGACCACTCGTATTTCTACCAAGTCATGGGACAACTACGAGCAACTTGTCGACAGAAATGTTTTTTCGTAGTATATACAAAAAACTGGATTAATATCGAAGAAATCGAATATGATAATAACTTTTGGATGGATAAAATGGAGAAACAATTGAAAATGTAACTATTTTTATTAAATAGCTAATATATATTGTTATTTTCATATTTTTAAATCTAATTAATCTAAATATCTAATCGAATTTTAAAATATCTCATGTAACATATATTATTTATTATGTAATAGGTTTTATTTGGAATGTTTGTTGCCGGAAATAATCAATTCTCAATTTCCGAAACGTATGTTGAAATCAGATATACTAGAACCAGACCGAATATTGGAGAAAATTAAAATAAAAAAAAAATAATGTGTTGTTTTTTGTGTGCATTATTATCGGAGAACCAAAAAATAATATTATTAAAACATTAAAACGAATTATTGTATAATATATTTAGTATGTTTGGTAATTATATCAATTAGTTATTAAGAACGGACAAATTTTAGAAATATACAGAAAGTAAGCTGGTAGCATTCAGGATTATTTCGTCACTATAAAATATGTAAATGCTGTTCTATAAAAGTTGTTGTACTTTATTTATCTGTACACATATTAAATTAAATAACAACTAGTAAGTTGTGACTAGTGAATGCAAAGCCAGGATTCAGGAGCGAGTGTGGCGTGTGCTTAGAAATAAATTTGCGAAATAAAAATATAAGAAACGGTCTACTGCATTGACACGAAACGTTCTGAACGGCGGTCCGTGAACAATAATGTAGGTACCTCTCGCGCGATTACAAGTTGTAAAAAAAAAGTTTACTCCCTACTTTATAGACCTAATACAACGACTAAAGAAATGACATATGGTATTGAAATTTAACGTCAAGCCAGAAAAAAGTATGAAGAATTATATGGTGTTTCAGTTGAAGCATGTGGATTGTTTGCTGACATAGAATTCCCTATTTGCCTAATTGCTACGTAGGGTACACATACTACACATATTATTACAAAAATACAAAATTATAGCTTTAACATTCAAAATATACTCAATATAAAACTAATATAGTACTATTACGCAATAAATACAGGTCGCGTAAGTATGCGCGAATATTAAAAATATTACGGTGGCAATGCGGCATAATGTACGTGTAACGTGTATGCATTTTATATTTACGCGACCTGCCACAAACGAAGGTTGAGAAAGTAATAAACGTTGCTCCCGAATGAGCACAATCGTCGGCCGGCCGCCGACGACGAGTAGTGGGCGCGGCTTAAACGTCGCGTGCTTGCGCATCGCGAAAACACCTAACAGCGCGTTCTCTCGGTCGTTGTTTACGTTTCGCTTTCGGTGTGGCGTCCTCTTAACTTATATATTTAAACGTATTTATTTAAATTTTTATGTATTTACAGTTATTCGATTTTGAATTACAACAAAATAACAAAATCGCTATAAGAGAAATCGAGTGAGTATCGAATCATGAATTTTTATGAATTTTTACGCAAAATCAGTTTTTGACAAAATCGATTTTGGTTTTTGGTGCAACTATTAAACAGGTAGGTACATGAAATGTTAACTGAATGTTTATGTTAGCATTTTCTATACACCATAACATTTTCTAAATATTTTGACTTTTTTTGAGCTGTTTACGGACATTTTCAGTTTCCATTTTTTTTAGTTTTTTTTCTTTAAATATCAATAAAATTATTTATTGGTTAAAAAAGCTTGAAAATTTAATAGAAGGCTCCTAGTATATTGTTTCAAATGCAGATGAAAAACATTAAAATCCATTAATAAAATTACGAAAATTACGAAAATTTGCAAATTATTTTGAGTTAGAAATTCATAAAAAATTTTCATTTTAAATCTAATATTTTAAAATGTAATACAAGATTCCTCGTAAGTTTGTCTACCATTATCAAAAAAAAAAATGTCTGATAGCAAATCAAATTAAATTTTTATGAGTGTTTGAAGTTCATATTTTTACAACATTGGATATTCAACCTATTTCTCATGTAACAATATTCTTATTTTGTTGTAAAATGAAGACAATTTGCAAATTATTTTGAGTTAGAAATTCACAAACATTTTCTTTTTAAATCTAAGATTTGAAAATGTAAAATACAAAATACAAAATTCCTCATCAGTTTGTATACCTTTATCAAACAAAAAAAATGTCTACATGAAAGTCAAAAATTAAATTTTTATGAGCGTTTGAAATTCATATTCTTACAACATTGGATTTTCACTAGATTTCTCATGTAACGATTTTCTTATTTTATTGTAATTAAAAAACGAATAACTGTAGATACATAAAAATTTCACTGAATGTTTATATTAGCATTTTCTATACGACATACAATTTTGAAATTATTTTGACTCTTTTTGAGCTGTTTACGGACATTTACAGTTTTAAATTTTTTTAGTTTTTTTTTTCTATAAATATCAATAAAGTTTTATCTGTTTTGCCAAAAAGTGTAAAAATTTAATACAAAGCTTCTGATATATTGTTTTACAATATCAGTAGAAAAATATTAAAAATACTTAGGCACAATTTTTTTTTATAAGTATTTTTATAAGATCGAATTTTGACAAAATTTATAAAATTTAAAATTGAATAATTATTTTGTAGTTAAAAATTTATAAAATGTTCAACTTTTATATCTAAGGATTGAAAATTTAAAACAAGATATCCACGTAAGTAGTTAATTCTGTTTCCAAAAAATCTAAAAAATACAGAAGCACAGTTTATTTTTATAGTCATTTTAAGTTCAAATTGGGACGAATTTACATAATAAAAATCCTAGAATAACTATTTTAGTTATTTTGTTGTGATTGTATAATATTATTCGTGGGTACTGGGTAGGTACTTGAAACTTCTAAAGTACACCATTATACATATATCTACATTCTACATAGGCGCAATTTCAACTTTTGGTTTGGGCTGGTTGAATATATTAAAGGCAAGCAGACCGTTGCTGCAATATAGCATATTAAAATGGTATGTCCTATGTTTTTTTTTTTGGGGGGGGGAATTAGATTTTTATATAATAATGGAAATTGAAACTTTTCTTTTGTTTATAAATGGTGGCCATTGGTTACAGATTTAATAGTTATAGGTAGTAGAAATTAGTATTTTTGAAATTTTATAAACTTTATTGTCATTGAATTTTCGGTGATATCAAGCACCAAATTTTCGCGATTAGATTATGGCCTCGAAGAAAGAAACTGTATATAGTATCTTAAAACCAAATGTATGTGTGTAGCTTATATACTCAAAAACTCAATTGAATTTTACGAAAAACTAAGAGATTTAATCCGCGACTTGCGTGTTGCCCATATAGGTTGAATTATTTCACAAAGCTAGGTTTACTGACGTTAATTTTGCGTGAACCGAAGTACATTTTGTCAAAATTCGATCTTTAAATGCTTATAAAAAAAAATTTCTACTGTAACAACATATCAGGAGTCTACTATTAAATGTTTACACTTTTTGGCCCAACAGATAAAACTTAATTGATATTTATAGAAAAAAAACTAAAAAAATTTAAAATTTAAAATGTCCGTAAACAGCTCAAAAAGAGTCAAAATATTTTCAAAATTGTATGGTGTATAGGAAATGCTAATATAAACATTCAGTGAAATTTTCATGTATCTATAGTTATTCGTTTTTGAATTACAACAAAATAAGAAAATCGCTACATGAGAAATATCGAGTGAATATCCAATGTTGTAAAAATTTGAATTTCAAACGCTCATAAAAATTTAATTTGACTTTCCAGTAGAGATTTTTTTATTGAGAAAGGTAGACAAACTTATGAGTAATCTTGTATTACATTTTCAAATCTTAGATTTAAAAAGAAAAATTTTTACGAATTCTTAACTCAAAATAATTTGCTAATTTTCGTGATTTTTCCATATTTTGTCAATTTTTGAACTTTAAATGCTTATAAAAAAAAATTGTGACTAAGGATTATTAATATTTTTCATCTGCCTTTGAAACAATATACTAGGAGCCTTCTATTAAATTTTCAAGCTTTTGCAAACAACAAATAACATTTTATTGATATTTTTAGAAAAAAAACTAAAAAAAGATGGAAAATGAAAATGTCCATAAACAGTTCAAAATAAATCAAAATATTTTGAAAATGTTATCGTGTATATAAAATGCAAATATAAACAACCAGTATGAATATTTCATGTATATACGTTCATTTCTTTTAGAGTTACACCAAAAACCAAAATCGATTTTTTGGAAAACCGATTTTGCGTAAAAATTCCCGTTTTTCCTTAATTTTTATGTTGTTTTTCCCGGCGCTTGTGAAAACTACTTGTGACCCCCAAAAGTACCAACTAGATTCACTTTCCTATCAGAAAAGCTACTGTTGAAGAAAATCCAAGCACTTTTACTGTCCTAAAACGTGATGACAGACACAAAAATAAAAAAATTAAAAAAAAACACACATCATTGTAAAATCAATACATTCATCGTTTCCACTCAGAATCTTAAACCTAGAATTACTATTTTAGTTATTTTGTTGTGATTGTATAATATTATTCGTGGGTACTTGAAACATCTAAAGTACCTACGCACTATTATATAATATCTACCGTGTATGGACTATGATAGTATCAGTATTTGTTGTTGACGTTGACGCATTATAACTTATAAGTACCTAATGGATATTGTGATATGATTAATTTGGAATTTATTATAGCTACCTATTTTTGGTAATTTTTTTTTAATACGATAGATAAGTATATAATATGTCTTATACCTAGACTGACATCCCGTCTCTGCTCAGAATCGTTTTTCTTATACAATGATGTTATCAGGCCCTGATTTACGCAAGTGCAGATGGAGCACTTGCACTTGGCCCCCAAATTCTGGGAGCCCCCGGTCTCCGTCCTCCTTTTGTAGAAAATTGTTTTTTAAAATTAATTCCACAAAAATGTATTTTGTAAAATGTAATACCAACTATCAATGTTCAGAGTTCAGTATATTTTTATCATTAAATTGTCAGTTTTTGTAATTGACTATGTAATTTTTAAACTTTTTTGTGATAGAATGTTATAAAAATAGAAATTGTAGAAATTGATCATTTTTTATTTCATTTTAATTATACAAAATAAATTATTAATTAATAAGTTATTTACCATTTTTATAATTTTTTGGAAGATTGAAAATTTATTATTTTAATTTTAATTCATATAATGAAATCCTTAAGCATTTTTAATATTTTAGTATGTTATAATTTTGTTATGTTATTAACTTAGTATTATCTTTTCATTGTCCTTAATTGACTAGACCAAGTAACTAAATTGTATTTATAGTACATGAAATAATGTACAAATATTTTATGAGTTTTGA